ATCTTCCAACCAATCAGGTAAATAATCATTTAATTTATTTTCATCCATTGAAAGGAAGTGTTTTGTTACTTTTCATATTTATTGGAAAGCTATATTAATATTCATAAATATGCTGCGATAACATTTTTGCAAAAATACATTCTAGCATTTACGTGTTGTTAAAATTACTTAAAAACTGTTAATAGTAACATCGGTCTTGCTGATGCTGGAATCCCTGGTACTTTCATTTGGTAATATTAAAATGTATTAGAACTTAGACATTTTACTTAACATTTCGTCACAAGAGTTCCCCGCCGTAAGAATAACACACAAGCTACCAGTGGATATTAGAGGCCTTAGGATGGACTGACCGCTCACCAATAAGCCTTAATCTGGGTCTTAAGATGATCAGAAATATATTTAAAGTTTCATGCTCTTTTGAAACATAACATTGTTCATCTTACGTACATTATTTTAAGGTCAATGTCCAGTCATGTGTTATTAACAGTGTTACATTAACTCTTTTAGGCCGGATGTTTATGAGAGTTTTTAACGTAAGTCTGTATGACACGACATTTTTTGATTAAGCAGATATGACAGATTTTTTTATGTGAAGCGTTTGACTCGACGATAGTATGAGTGAAACAATGAAATTATGAGTTAAGTGTTTTTTTCTTAAATTATAATTTACTTAGTGTCTGAAATTAATTACATTTTAAGAAGATCTTTATTCCTGAGACCACCTTCAGCGTATCTGAAAATAATCGTTTATATTCGCAATACTTTCTAAAATTAATTATAAAATATACACATAGGCTGAAGAGCATTACGACGTGTACGAATTAAGATTATTAGCTCCTAAAATACAGATTTTTTTGTGTCCTTATTTTTGAACGTTTTGGCACCGGTGATTTTGTCATTAATCACGGGGATGAAGTTTGAAATGAAGTTAGAAAAAGGATTCTTTCTTGCCCAATCTTTATCATATTTTGCACGTTGAACCGTAGTAGCGCGATACACTATAATAATCTCTACCTGAGAGAGATAATTTAATTATCCCTTCGTTGCCACCCACCTCACTCTGTTCACACAAAGACATCAACATGTTTCCGCACGTAATTTTGCTATGTCATATTTCCTTTATTAATTATATAATTTGGCATCTTCATCGGATCATTTGATGCTGTCCTGTCCGCAGTCGGAGACTAATGGTTTTCTTTGCAACAGCCTTGCTCGGTTTATAAGAGCCTAAGATTCGATATAGAGATATTTTAAATCAAAACAAGAATTTCAGGAAAGATGTTAGGAACATACCTTCCGTTAAATGCTCATATCTACTAAAGAGCCGTGATCGAATCAGCAAGGACCTCAGAGATTCTACCAGACTACAAGGCGTATCAACCCAGAAGATAGTCATCTACACAAATCATATTAGCCAATTTACTTTTCTATCTCAGTTTTTAGCTTTATCTCACTTTCTTCATTCAGAAAACTAATTTCACATCTCTGCTGTGCTGATACAGTTATACATTATTTTAAACACGATACCTTTGTCAGCAGAATAGTACTCGAACATGAAAGCTCTCGCGAGTTTAAATTGTCTGCGTTTTCAACAACAGCTATAAAAAGTGTAAAAGTACGGCCCACTATTGCATGGTGTCAGCTTAATATGGCTGGCGACATTGACCTATGGCAGGGCACCATTTTTTGTCTTGTGAAGATTAAAGTGCCTCATACTTTGCGAAAAGCGACGTTAACTTTTTTTGCAGAAACTAATGAGGCATAAATATATCGTGTCCGGTCCTGGTAAAGCACACTCTTCATTAAAGTAACATATAATTTCTTTCTCGGTTAGGCAGATCCACATCATCTCTGATGCTACATTATTGCTCTGCTCTACCCATTTAACCGAACTCATTACGCAGAAAAACGAATGATCCTTACGACTTGAGCTTCGTATGAGACAAATATTGCTCGTTTACAAAGTTATTCAGACCTTTCGAAGTTGAAAGAGACAGAGAGAGAAGAAAGTGGGGGAGTTGACAGGCAGTACTGTTTTTGACGGGGAGGGGACATAAATTTTGATTTGCGGCTATGAAGGTCCTCAGGCAGTGCACGCTCGTCTTTCTGGTAGAGATATGAAAAGATTTTGATGAAAAGTGGAGTAGGAGAGAAGCTGAGTAGGTTCCCACTGCGTTCATACACAATTTTTAATTTTGATGTTATCCTTGGACTTAGAAGTCGAAGCTCGTCTAGAATAATTTTTAAGAATTCAGTCCGTACCGCAAAGAGAACACAACGTTTCACCATTACAAAAGTTAAATGGTTAACACGAATTTGTTTTACTTACTGCGTACCAAAAGAACGTGTCTCTCTTGTAGGCGTAGTAGGATAAGCGTCAATGTGTTAGAATGGAGCGAATACCGCCGCTCATAATGTTGCGTGATTACCATTTCGCTGCTGTGAAGAGCCGAGCATTGCTGGGCCGAAGGCCAGCGAGGTCTACGGAGTGCAGACGCCAAGCAAACTGATGCGGACAATATCCGATGTCATTGCTGTGGCTCGAGTTACAACAAAAACCGATTTACTACTGAGGTTGGTCATGGAATGAAATGTAGCTCGGATGATTTGACCTCACGGCGAATTCGGGTTGCGCTGGGCGGGAGATTAGTGAGGCAAAGCAGTGTTTTGTTGAGGTGTGCGTGAGAGTGAAGACATTAGATCTGTGCTAATGAAACCGGCCTGTCCAAAAAACAAACATTTTTTGGATAAAGTATATGTTTCATAGGTACTTAGTTTCATACGCTGCCTCTAGAAATGGCCTGACACGTAACATGTTTTATATTGACTTCTTAAATTAGAGCCGGAGAAGATTTTATCGCACTGTAAAAGTAAACTATAAGTATCTGTGGACATCTTGCTGACCAAATTCGGGTGGAAATTTTCGGACTTGTGACAGGGTTTGTCCTCATATCACAGCCACAGGTTTTATACGCCCGACGAGGGACTTCCACTATTGGCACCTAAGTTTTAGAAAAGATTTTTTCCTTCTCGTTTTATGAAAGCTTTAGTCTATGTACACCTGATTTAGTATATTTAGTTCAGTTAATTTTTATGGTTCTAGTGTTTATGTTTGTTTTTAGTTCGAATTATTTGTCAAGTAATAATTAAAGTAGGGACCGACATATTTTATTTCAGGCGTGGTTCTTAGCAGGAAGGTTTTAAGAAGTTGGAATAGCACAAAGAAGTGACTTTGAATCTTACCACCATATTGAAAGCCTAAGTTTTTATAGACTTAATTGAAGTCGCTAATGACATTAAATGAATAGCTTGACTTCTGGTGTGTACAGTCATATTGTTAAAGACGTTGACTTCGGTCATTAATTTTTTATGTAAGCCTAAATATTTACAATAATTTAAAACGTCGTATTTTTACGTCTCGAATCTCCTTGATTTATACGTTGTGCATTGTCTGAAGAGACATCAGGGCGATGAACATCGCCCTGATGACGGAGGCAGTATGACCTCTGAAATTTTGGTAAACATCTACTATACTACACGGCGCAACAACCCAGAAGACAGAAATCTTCTTAGTGGAGTTTGTCTCTAAGATATTGGCGTTTATTTATTTTTCTGCCCTCGCCATTGGCAGCTTCATCGGGACAAAGCACCTATTAACATATTTGTTGCCATGTGTTATGGTAGCAGAATGCCGCTGTGGTTTCGCTGCATGTCGCTAAGTTTGTGCTTCCCTGTGGGAATGTTTTGTTTTCATTCTCCTCAACAGTGCGCTCACCGCAGCCATTATTTGCCAACAATACAAAAATGGCCTCATTATGTTTCCTTCCTAAAACTTGGGTTTTAAAAAAGGCAGATTAAATTGGTTGGACAAAAGCTGTGTTCTGTGAATTGAATTCTTGCTATTTCTAAAGCAGAAGTAGCCGATGAGATTCAGTACATCGCTTGTGTTTCTCTCATATAGCACGCCTGTATTTGTTTTAAGTCTTATGTAATCGTTGGAATTGTTTGGGATTTTAAAACAAATGTGAAAACATTACAGCCATTGTCATATATTAATTGTAGGCGTTAAAATATATAATGCTTTTATAAACTGAAATTTAAAAAAAAATGTTGTAGAAATGATAAATATATTTGTTGTCATAGATGTCATTTGGACTTACAAGAAGACACTAACGTTTCGGAGAAACATATTACCTCCATCTTCAGAGCTGGTGATTATAGAATCTACACGGTGTTACAACCATGAAAACTAACATCGACATTTTCACCGCAGTGATAACCTTGATTTTATATGGATTTTCTAATTATTAAAAGTCATCGAATTCGAAAAGTTTCTTGTCGAATGTTTAGAGTTCGCGACGATGTACGTCATAATTCCTCTTCGTTTTAGCGAATGAATCCTAACCTGAATGCCTTTTCTTCAACTCCAGACAACATAGCCTGAGATGTATTTAACATATTTTATACGACATTTAACAGTCTTCGCCTATTTTCAAGTGATTTGTTTTAATTTCTCTGACAGTTTTTCTATTATTCTGTGTTTCTAACATTAGTAGCGATTATCTGTTTCGACCCGGGACTTCTTATAGGTTAGGATGCTAGTAGTTGGCTTACATTGACGTACGTAATATTGATATAATTATGTAACGTAACTTTTTTATGTATGAGAGTAATGTGCGTTAAAAGAGTTAAATGCGGACCTATGTAGATAATTTGGTTTTTGCAAGACAAATAATAGCATAGCTAAGAGTGTTCTTTAACAAGACGATTCTGAGTGTAATATATATCCTTCAATTTACTTACATGAAGCCCAGCACGCCCTGAAGTTGGAGGCAGTATACCTCTCCGAAGCGTTTGATCTACCTATAAGTACACATGATGTTACAACCCAGAAGACAGACGTCAACATAATTACAAGTAATTTACTAGCCTACCAATGAGTCGTATTACGTAAAGAAAGCATTCTCTCTACAGTTAAAAGAATAAGTGTAGCTTCCTTGCGTGAAGGCATCGCAAACATATGTCGGAGCTCTTGCCCTCCAGTAACGTAATATAATGATTTTCTTTGAAGAGTTTGAGCATCATGCTGCGACAGTGAGTCTCGAATCCACTATCACAAACAGCTCCACTCGGTGTTTCAACAGGTGATGTCCCCGTGAAGTCTTTGTGGATCAATAAACATTTGTAATAATTTTTAAACCTCACTGAAAAGCAATATATTATTTATGACAGCAACGCGCGATCCACAGTCCTTCGTCTTTATCATCTTCTGTTCACAACAGGAGGACTAGACCATCGGAAAGCATCTGCTATACGCGTACGGACACTTATCTCAACGGGATTCGAACCTATAATACCAATGAATGCCCATGCGGATCGCAGACTACACGATTAATATATGAAGAGACCAAATAAAACCAGTAGTGTTTAAGATTTTCTAAAATTTGTTGTCACTTTTTTGTGAAAGATAGAGAATGATATTTTGGTGTATTTCCAAAGTCTCTCTCCAGCGTAATCTTTGGTTATTGTGGGGCAGATGTCAACCAAGAATATTATGTAATTTATACCTACGCCTAATTCCGTCAGGCAGTTAAGTTATTTACTTCTTACGTAATTATCTATTACAGCTCTCAACGAATCTTACTTGTTTTTAATTATTTGCAATAATGATGGGAAAATTTTAAAATAAATCTCAGATAAATAGGGTGTACTGATTTGTATCGGATTTATCTGCCTCAGGATAGGGACTTTTGGTGCATTGTGGTTACGATAATGAACATTGGTAGTTAGTACTGCTCCATATTCAGAATGTTGTGGGTTCGAATTTTGCTTCGAAGGCTATCTGTCGTTTGCCCTCCCAGGAAGTACTAAACAACTAGCTCTATTACTTCCTTCCACACCCTTTTTCATCATTCTTTGTCATTCTATCATTTAAAGATGTAGGCCGAAATCAATAATACGTAATACACGAAGGTGATAAAAATGTAAGGATATGTTTTCCTCTGTGTGTAAGTTTCACGCAAAGAAAACTTTTTATGGATGTTGAAGTCAAGATCCCTATGTTCTATATTTCACAGTTGTATTAGGGTAAGTGGCTAGATTCGTTTTATCAGCAGGGGAAGGAGACGGCAGAAAACAATCACGAGTCTGGGCGGACTTCACAGTCGGTCTGGAAAAATTACTGTCTTTGCCAGGAATCCTGGCCATTCATCTCATTTTACTGTTTCGGCCGTCTATGCAGTTGATAAAGTGTCGTTAAATGAACGAAGATATGTACCACTTGTTTGTTACTAAACCTTTTTTGAGTTTAGGAGTCTCTCCGCACGCTGCGTGAAAACGAATAGATCTACTGGGACAGCGCTGTGAACTTAATTACATTGTGCGGTGGTCATTACTATCCGGGTCTTCATGCCGTCTGTTCAGCTGTCTGAAGGTCTTCGGCGGGCCTGAGGACGGCCAGCACCTAAAAGTGTGCCAGATGGCATTGCGGTTTCGAAGAGAAGGGAAAAAAATACTTGAGAAAGAAACAACAATAATGTAGCGGGCAAGAAACAGAGGGAAGACAGGTACTCGATCGATTATTGTTGTGTAGCATTAATTCGAATATTTAATTAAATATTCTGTTCAAGTTCGTGATAGCTTAATTATTAAATCAGTCTTTGATAGTGAAAAGTGATCCTATTATGGACGCAATTTGACTTCAGTTACGCGTACCGGTGGGAACAATCGCACGTAGATTTCTCAATTCGCTGTACAGACATCTCGTCTTTAGTTATCAAGATATTGATTCTTAATTAACATGAGACAATGTCTTAGACAATCAACTGACTACCAAGACAGTGATTCGATTACCTGTAGATGCAAGAATGTATTGAGAGTGAATTTTGAGATTCTCACGGCAACGAGGATGCAGATGGCTGTCGCTGTCTTGTGCCGTGTTGCTCCGTGCAATTTGGTGGAAATTTACCGAACGCCCTAATGAAGGAGGCAGCAAGCAGCTGTGAAACGTTGGTGTACCGGACTACTTTGAATCCGTCATTGTGTCCATAAGAGCCCAGCCAGCCTCTTGGCCGATGGGTTCCTGGCGTAAAGCGCGACTGCAGAGGATCCAGTCACATCAGAACCCTGAAGATGGGGGACAGAGTTTGTTCCCGAAACGTCGGTTTATTACGGTAACCATTTAACGCGGCTGATTGCAAGAGAAGATTTTATTGGTTAGATCTTGTTAATCTTTAAAAATAGGTCTAGTTAGGAGCCGGTGTAGCTCAGTCAGTGTAATGATTAACTGAGGTTCGATCCCAGACGGGGGGCAGAGGATTTTTCCTCTAGCCTCTGCGTCCAGACCGGCTCTGGGGCCCACCCCGCCTCCTCTACAATGAGTACCGGGGTACTTTCCCGGGGGTAAAGCCGGCCGGGGCGTGATGCTGACCACTCACCCCCATCTAATGCCGAGGTCAAGGAAGAGGGAAGAGAGGAGCTATACCTCCACTCACCCCAAGCGCCTGCATGGCGTGTAGCAGTGCAGATTTTCTTTTAGGTCTAAGTATTGAACAAGAGATAAACGGTAAATATTAGGTCAGGTGATAGTGATTTTGATTATCCCTGCTAGAGGACATGCTGTCTTAGAAGGATTTGAGGTTTTCACGGCGGTGAGTACGAAGATGGTTGTCTTCTGGGCCGTAATCCAGAAGACATCTGTCTTTGGACATTCTGTCTTGTTGAATGGTTTGTGGTCTTCTAAGTTTCTCCATGTCAGATTTGGTATTATCTTCTGATAGGATACGTCCGATACTTGCAACCTTCTTCCTGTTCCTCTCTTCGATATCATCCTACGCTATCTCATTTGACGCTACGTATCCTCATTAGTTAATATAGCGTCGTAAAATAACTAGATTAAAATGTTTTCTTCGCTGAATTGAGAGATAATGATTCTGTTCAGTTTTATGAGCTGTTTGTTTATATACTTAATTACTCTTTGGCCAACGGAAAATAGCAGAATATTTATAACTGGGAGGAATATATTGTGGCCTATTTAATCTCCCTAATTCAAATAGGAATTACGACTATTATAGGTTATCGTTGCTTTCTCTAATTGTGCTAGTTCTTCGGAAATTTGAGGACAAACCGGTTATTTCTTTTGGAAACTCATGGTAGCAACGCGAAACATCAATTTCTCTTTAACTTGCCGAATGTGACAGGAAAATTATAGGTGTGGTGGCATTTTGCAACGAGAGACGCGTTCTCTCTTTAGCGTTCTTTTACAGTAACACAGTTCCCGTTTCTATTCTGCTTTTAAGAAGGAAGTATAATGAATTTGCTGGCAATAAAACAAATTAATAAACGGGAAGTAAAGACAATTTATTTTTATTCAATTAAATATATTAAACTACAATAAACTAGCATATGCAATCCTATAGTTCAGTTATAAAATATGACCAAAGTATTGTGTAATTAAAATGTTATGAAGATGAATGTTTTATAGGACCTTGCGCCGTTTAGTCTGGTAGAAGTTAACCGATGTTTTAAAGATACTCTCTGCCTCTGTCATTAGGTCGATTGTCTTGATGAAGAAGGCAGCACGCACCTCTGAAACATCAGTAAATTTCTACCAGACTACGCGCAGCATCCTAGAACACAGTTATCTTTCAACCTGTCGTCGTGAAACTTGAAATATCACAAAAAGTTACGAATTTTCTATTATGTCTAGTTTATAACAAGCCTATTAACTTCATGCAGACGTCACTAATTGTATTTTCTATACTTCATTATCAGACGTACCCATGATTATTCCTAATGCCTCTCGCATCAATCGCTATAATTTTAAATGTGTGTTTATAAAAATTAAATGATGCAAGCAAGTGCTGTGTTAATATTATAAGCCTTTTAGAATATTAAAACAAGGGAATAAATAATTCACATTCAATCGTTTTTTGTTATCAAGGAAAATCCTCTTGCCACCTTGAGAGGGTATGTAAATGATAAGACCGCGAGACGTGTCCAATTGTTTAATTCTTCAAAACGCGTTTCGATGGTGAGGTTTCCGGTCAACGCGGCGACTAGTATGAAATTGACTGTCTTCTTGGATGTTGAACCATGTAGTATAGTAGAAATTAACATCCTGTCGATGGAGATTGTGAGGGACTCTGAAACTTCTCTTACTTTAAACCCGGTTACACGGCGCAACGTCCCAGAAGACAGTGATTTTTACGTTTGCCTGCTTTACGACAATGGGCTCTGCGGTGCGCTGTTCTCCTCAAGGGCGCCAGTTCTGTCTGCCGCTCCAACAGTCGTAGCAACCACAAAAAGTACAACACACAACAGGTAGGAAGCTCCTCCTTCCTTCCAAGCTCCCTTTCCGGTCGCGTTCAATTTTCATTCTAGTAGCCCTGGTAGCCGTGGGCTCCCCCCTGTCCTCTTGCTATACTTTCGTCATGTGACCGTAGAGCCCAGTTTTAATTGGTTAGAAGGCACGCGCTGTTGTAAGGGCCCCATAGGACTGAAAGCGAATTGAGGGGGGGGGGGTTGTATGCTTCCATATGGGTTACAGTGGAAGGAATACATCAAGGTGATATAAAATGCTATAACAGGTTGCTTATGAGCTTAGTGCCGTGTTGGTCGGCGGTTGGTTGTTGCTGGAGTGTTTGTGGGTTGCCTGTCGGAAACACGTGGTAACCTGTGCTACTATCAGTTGTATTCAGTGTTGTAGCTAAGAGACTGCTGAAATTTGAAAATTTTTCGTTGTAATTATGTTTTATTTGAACTATTTTGCAGTGCTAATCGGAAACACTGAATGAAGTGAATTACGTTTTTTTATATTTATAATATTATTTGAGATACGACGTAATAAAAATCTTAAGTACTTTGATTTGTGATGGCTGCGGCAACAGATATGTTTCGTTATATTTACCTGTGCGGTAATAAAGACAACAGTGACACTTCCAGCTTCGTAACAACATCCACAGAATCTGCAGTGTTACCACCTTCTCCATCTAATCAACATTCAGCACAGACGACTTACGTATTGCCCCATCTGTGTTCCGATACCTCTTCTCAGTTTATCTCATCCTCACTGACGTCAACTTCACCTCTGCCTTTTACATGTCCATCGACACACTCCCCTATTACCAAATTATCACCAAATATTTTAAAGAATTCATCTTCTTCGAGCTTACATAATCGAAGCTTCGATAACCTCTCTGACGGCTGTCATACTCCGAGTCCCGACAGTTTCCGTTCTGTCAGTCCCACATCCGATATCATGGACCAGCAGAGTAACTTGCCGGTGCTTCACAAATTTGGAGCCGAGAATGACAAGCAGTACACGCCGCTGCAAAACTACGCTTTCAGGGGACCTGCCACTTCGCATTTGAACAATGTGTATGAATATAACAAATCCTACCAGAGGATGGCAATCGACGAGAATGTCAACAAAAATTCATTGGTTTCTTTAGCAATGGAAGCTGCGAAAGACATAAGAAAGAGTAACGGACAGAATAGGAGAAGTGTTGTAGTGTCAAATAACAGCCAAAGAACGTTGAAGACCATTGATGAAAAGAAAGACAGCGCGTATCTGAAACAGAAGAGCGAAGACTTCAGTAGTACTGGATGTGACATGATAGACAATGAGTGTGATGATTTTGATGATGACAGTCTTATGCAAGACAGCGGCGATGAATCGATGTGTCATGATGACATAAGGCACGAAGAAAAGAGGAAACAACAGCAGAAAACAAAGCGACGCTCGAGCAATAAACTGGTGAGTCCAGTGGTTATGAAGAAGAGACGCTTGGCCGCGAATGCTCGAGAGAGACGTCGCATGCAGAACTTGAACAAGGCGTTCGACCGTCTTCGGACACATCTCCCATCGCTTGGAAACGATCGGCAGTTGTCAAAGTTTGAGACACTGCAGATGGCTCAGACTTACATTACAGCTTTAAATGATTTACTCCAGTGACGTCATAAAACTTTTGTAACGTGTGGCCTGAAATGATCAGGACTGTAACTGGATTTATCCGCAGAAAGTACCTCAACTTGATATATAACTCTGTGACGTTTACCAGTGTATTATTACATGTAATTATTAATTATTAGGATACGTATTGAGTCTAGTGATACATAATTGCTCATCAGTTGGTAAAAGGCCTAACAATAAAGACAAATTAAGGGACGGGCTGTGAGAATAAACTTCATTTTGTATGCGAATTAACGAAATGAAAAGACTTCAATGCTGGAACAGAATACGTAGTGAGAGATACATTTCTTATTATAGTTTCTTACGTCGCTTGGTGTTTGAAGTTTACTGCCGCATCCTAGTTCATGTAAATAGATTTGATGTTTGAATACATATAATAGGATCAGGCCCTCCCTTGCTGGAACAGTTCACTATGTACCTACGTAACCAAGTTCAGTTGTTGATGTTTGTATACATCTATGTACAGTGCCATTTTTATGTAAATAGTTTGTTGTTTAAATTCATGGGCGTTATAAAATGTGCTGTATAGACACTTATTTTTGTTACACGTATGACAGTTAGAATATTGCTGAGTTTTATAAGACAAAGTGACAAATTTCTGTAAATAAAGTATATTGTTTCCCCCCAGTATAAGGAAAAATATTTATTACATAATTGTCGATATTGGTCTTCTACGTTGTAACGTCATGTGGATTTGTAGGTAGAATAAACTTGCTCTATTCATCGTCACCTCAGAAGATGAAGCAGTATGCATTTATGAAACGTCGGTATTTTCCTTCAACTGTACATAGCGTTACAACCCAGAAGACCAACAAACACATTTTTACCACCAAGTGGTGTTTATGTGAGTTATATTTTTAACTGAAATTTATAAAATTAATTAAATAACCATATTAGTAGGGCATAAAGAATGTTCTTTGTAAAAAAATTAGAAACCTCCTTTTTTTCTTATATTTGTTGTATGCAATATGAAAGCCAGTATTTATTCCTAGATTGAAGCCTACTAATATATTGTAATTGGCATAATGTTTGTTTTGTTTCAAAATAATTAGTATATAAATTACAATTTTTAACCATATAACAAATATAATTTGTACGGTGTTTATTCTGTAATTAAAACACTATCATTTACTTACTTATGGACACCAGCACTTTAACATTGGGGTTAGAACTCAACTATTTTTACACTGGTCTGAAATGGACCGACATTTACAGGGTAGATTTAAAGATTTGTTCTGTTTGGTGGTACTTGTTACAATTTAATATTACGGAAACGGGAACAAATATTAAAATATGATTGGGATATTGCAATTATTTTTGGCGTGCTCTTTCACATTGTTAAATGGGTACTTTGTTACCATGACATGATGTGCCTTAAGATTTCGAAAGAAGGAGATAGCCTGGAGATATGTAGGGTGCCTGCGAATATATTGAACACGTAGTCACGAACATCCGACCAGGGGTGATCCTTTAGCATTGATGTTGGGGAGGTGTTAACTGCCAACCGTAAGGAAAACTATAATGTTAAAAAATGTTGCGCATGTTCTGGAGCTCTTTTGAACAGGGTAGTGAACCTTCAGGTTCTATTAAAGGTGAGGAATTTCTTTGACCAACTGAGCGTATTCTGTAATCTTTGCAGTTACTTACTTCCACTAACGGTAATAATTGCTTATTGTAGTAAGACTTGCTAGTTATTTACATTATTATTATCATCGTGAGTTTTATTAATAAGACACAAGAATACGTTACAGATTCAGATAACTGTATTGAGATTAAGGGATATTTCGCACCCACGACTACTCTAAGGAGAGTTCATACAGATCTAATTCGGTCGCCGCACCCACTTCTAGTCTTTGCGTGCTTATACCAGGTAGAACTCAACACCAATCAACCGACACCTGATATTAACATCTAGAGTTTCGGGCAGGTCTGAGGATTGGACAGTCTGATGCTTTACTGGTCAGAAAGGAACGTTTATGTACAAGATCGGTTAATTAGATACAGATCCATTGGCAGAGAGGGTTGTGATAGTAGCCCGTGTTATTTTACAGTTGCTGTGTCACGACTTGAGCCACAATTGGTACGTAATTACTGGGAAAGTGTTTTGCCGGTTTCATAAAGTTAACTTGTCTACGACCTTTCAAATAAATGGAACTTAAATCCGTTACTTTCTACACCATAGGCTGTGGATCTCTTTTATGAAAGGAAAAGGTTTAAGCTGATTCTTACTTACATTATCTGTTGCTTGTAATAACTGTGATTAACGTTGCCATCATGTTTGTCTGTTTTTCTGTCACTTTTTGACTTCATAAATAAACCATCAAGTTAATATAATACTATGTACGTAGAACCGGATGTATTTCCGGATAAATAACAGCCATCATGATTGAAAAATGGTCGTGATCATGCAATAGAAATTAATATCTGATAGAAACTTCATTAACTGGAACACACAAATCTATTTCAATTCTTTCAAGGTTCCGGTATAGGAATTCAAGAGAAAGATATGAGACTCAAGCGATTATCACTTACTGCAGGCCAGATCTATTTGTTTAAAACTTCACTTTCAATCAGGCATAGGCTGTAGAATTTTATTGAGTAATTGTTGACGACGTCTATATTATTACCGTCTTTTTGAGATGTCAATTATATTATCATAATTATTGTAGGCCTACGCATCACTTATGAAAAGAGCATTCTAGTGAATACATTAGCATAATAGATCCAGAATAGTATAAAGTAGGAATCTTAATGTAAAAGTGGTTGGTAGCTTAGGACTCGTCCCTTTATAAATTTAAAGGAGCAAAGAACGACCTTTAGTCCTAAAAACATTTACTAAATGAAGAAGGCACCGTAGGCGGCTTCTTCCAAAAAGTAAAAAGTAGTCATTAGTGTTAACTAAAGCAGCAACATAAAACACTGTCCCCTGCTCAGTTCTCTCATAACGCACCCACAGTCTGATTTTGCCCCGGGCTTTGCGGTACTGCAAGGAACAGAGGATTTGTGCAGTCATCACACAGTGAAAACGACCGTGGGACAGGACCCGATCATTTGCCGTAAGCCCCACATTTTATTATTGAAAAGTTTACCTACTCTGTAACGAAACAACAAAAGCTCTAGTACAATATCTGGTAACCTATTCGGAACGTACTTGATTCGGGCTGAAGGTGAAAATCTTTTGCGTGTTTTCATAGTCTACCTAGATGAACTTTAGAATAGAAATAATTGTCGGTGTTTTATTCGATATTACAGTCTCAGATACCGATATGTATGTTAAGTTGTAATAGACTATTAAGGAAAGAAATTACGACTTTCAATTTTAAAATTAAGTCGTTCTAAACCTTAATCTATTTCTATTATAATTCGTACTTGTTTACGCCAAAACCGAGAAGAATAAGATAATCATTTTCACCACCGAGAAAAACTAAAATCCAGAATACAGTCATCCTCAAATTTCATATTACGAGTGGATAGAACCAAGACATAAAGACGCATTTAGTTTAACAAACACCAAAAACAAGAATATCAGACGTTAGTCAATTTGTAGATGTTAAGTTATAGAAATATCACGTAAAACACTACCGCGAAGTTATTAAAAAAGTAGTCCTCAGAATTTGATGAATTTATGATGTGGGAAATATTCCCCTCGTATGAAGTTTTGTATATGTATGTATATGTATTCATACCGCGTTGTAAAATACACGCGATGATATGTATTCATACCGCGTTGTAAAATATTTATGTAAGTTTTGCTGTAAAGTATTTTTTCTGGTATCGACTAAGGGTGGATTTGGAGTGAGGCCTATGGACAGATCTGTACATGAACCCTATGTGGTAAGGTTCTGCACGTTTCAAAATATATACACCTGTGTAATTTATAGGTTTCTCCCAGGGAATGACCTCGTGCCAGACTGCTAAAGAACTCACTCCCGTGAAATTTATGCGTGAACAATTCCCCTCATTGCTAAAAGGATTGCATTGGGTGTAAAAGTTATGGCCCATTATGTTGGCCACCCAACCAAGCTTGCACAAATTGGAGACCTCCCCACATCGTAAAGATGTGAAATATTTCTATTTTTGTCTCTAAAATTTATAGCTTAACTTTTCCTTTTAAAGAGGGGTTTCGCTTAGTTCTTATTCAAGCATTTAAGGTTCCTTTAATTGATCATTGTACACTGTGGAAACTAATATTTTTTAAAAGAAAGGTTTTCGTGGGGTGAAGAAACAGCATGATTACAGTGACAAAGAAATCATCATTCTCAACAATATTTTTTTCTTAATTACCTCTGGAGGCTTAAGAAGACCATTTTTATTATTAACGTGTTAGTGTTTTGTGGAATGGAAAGGATCTGTAATCTTAGACCTAGAAAAAACCTCTACAGTTAACAGTTCTAATGAACGGATTTATGTTTGTAAGGACTAAGGAAAAGCGCAGTGTGATGCTTTATCTTCTGTATATGCAACTACGAATCAAAGCAGTTCCTCCTTTGTTTCTACATTATTTGAATGTTCACTGAAAATGTGGGTAATTCATAAACATTTCATGAATGGTAATTCGGGCCTAAAATTAATGCTGGGAATAATACTTTCCGAGATGGATAGAAATATATTCCCCCAATAACATTTTTTTAGATTCCCTCCCCAGCTATAGTATTAAATTTAATGGAAACTCGTAGAATAGTTTTTGAAATGGAACACGTGGATAAGAAATGAAATAGAAATAAATTATCTTCTTATTAAAGACATTTGCAATAAGCGCATAAAATTTAAAGTAAACCATATTAGTTTTACCACTCAAGAAATATATTAATTGTAACATAAAAAACTAAAACATATATTTGTGTGCTGTTACACTTTTGGGGTTGAAGATCATTTTGAAACTAGTGGCCCATCGAGGAATCATGTATTTGTATTACCTGATTTTCAGTCATAAATTTTGTTGTTCTTGCATGTTTACTAATTGTCACTATAAAAACAAACCAGGATTTGATTGACGAGCCAAATAAATCGGGAAATGGGCAGAATTTTATAGCAACACAAGTCGAAGTGTTTGCATTAATTGCATTTTTATTTACGATGCAATATTCTGTTAGCTTTTACGAGTTTCTTCAAATGCTGGATGCGCCTGAAACTTTGTAAGTTTATTCTTCTTCGTCTTAGGTTCAGAGCCGAGTAGTAGGAAGCATTACCGGATTTAATTCTATGAGAGGAACAATTTATTCTTTTAAAAACTCCTCTTTGAACGTACGGTCCTAACAGTTTCTGAATGCTCCCATTCTCATGTTTACCATAACTGGAATGAACGGAATATTCTATCGATCTTCTTTAGTTCATTTCATCAGCTGGTGAAGAAGGATGTTACGCCACTCTGTGGCAGTTATCAACAGTTCCGCCGGTTTGGCTTTGATCACTGCCAATTTGCGGTCTCATGGAGCGGAACTTAGCTACGCGAAGGAAACCACAAGCAAAACAGTCCTCCGCCCCCACCCCGTGCATTATTCCATAATTTTCCTCGCTGTGGGACACGCTTATTGTAAAAGGTAGCTTCATTGGTTTTGCTGTTGTATTGTAATATGAGAGGCTGTAAAAGTCTATTGTTAAAAATACTGATGAGTCTTGAGGCTCATTAAAAATAAACCTCCCTCATAAGCACACAGCAGTTTTGGACCCTGGCGTGAACGACGGTTATCTGCTTACATTACTACTCACCTCATCTGGAGAGTCTATCTCTTCCTGTATTGCAACCTCTCTTTTACCTTTTATTTCCTCCTCTGTTTCTCTATCTTGCCTTATTTTTC